ATGGTGGCGTTTGGGAGCGCATGATACGCATAGTAAGACGTGTACTCAAGTCAGTCTTGCACCAGCAGATGTTGGATGATGATGGACTCCACACTGTCATGTGTGAAGTAGAAGCAATTCTTAATGATCGTCCTATCACCAAGTTGTCTGACGATCCAAATGACTTGGAGCCTCTCACACCAAATCATCTCCTGCTTCTGAAAGGAAAACCAGCTTTGCCGCCTGGACTTTTTGATCCATCTGATATGTATGTGAAACGCAGATGGAAGCAAGTTCAATACATATCTAATCTGTTCTGGAAGCGCTGGGTCCGGGAATATCTGCCATTGCTGCAAGAGAGACAGAAGTGGAACCAGAGGAAAAGGAGTTTAGTTCCTGGTGATGTAGTAGTCATCATGGATTCATCAGCTCCACGTGGTTCTTGGCCTCTTGGAAAGGTGTTGGAGGTTTTTCCTGATAAAAGGGGCCTAGTGCGTTCTGTCAAGCTACAGACTAAAAGCAACATTATTGAGAGACCTGTAACTAAGCTTTGCTTAATACAAGAGGGGTAAATTGAATGATGTTATTTGCATACTCATGTACATATTTGAGATTTTCACATTTGGCTCCTGTATTATTGTGTTGAATTGTAATGTTTGTCTACCACTTACAATTAGGGGCCGGTGTGTAGGAGCCAATTAAGACATCTACTATAAGTAGGAACTAACCTGTGTAGGTTCAGGTGCCACCCGGAAAGGGAAACAGATTTTTGACCACACCCGCACTCACACACACACACACACTCACCGAACCTACTCTGTATTCACCTGGTGACATGAAACTCAAGGCAGAGGAGCTGCAGTTGAGTTGTGAATTTGTGAGCTGTTGTTGGACTATTAATGCTTGAATGGAAAAGAAATACTACATGGAATAAATGGACAATTTACAACCGGCAAGTACTGAATGGACAATATTTCATTTAATCGGAAGGTGAAAATGTGCGTCAATTAACTAATCCGTGGTGGAGCACCTCAGTGGCCTAAAGCGTGGGCTTGGCCACTATAATTTTATACAAAACACTTTACATTTGTTAGACTGTACTGCACATAAACCCGACGACCACAGCGTCCTGAAAATGACAGTTTTTCTGAATAGAGTTTGGTGCGTGCATTTAATCCAATATTAAAACGGTTATTATTTTAATTCGCCACAAAATTTGGATGACGTGTTAGGTCAATGCAACAAATGTTTTAACACAGAGCCTACGTTCAAATCTAAAATGTTGAATACAAACTCTAGAGGACAGCAGATAGATAAAAGCGACGAAGAAAGCAGTCTAAAAATAGAGTTTGTGGTGCGAGAGAACTACTCCAGAGAATAAAAACGGCAGCCGTGTATTTACTCTCGTTGGAAGATTAGAAAAAAGTTTGAGGAGGTTCCTGGTGTGTTGTGTCCTCTCGCCGCTGCTGCTTCTGCTTCTTGTGGTCTTCTCTCTGTGCTAGTGCCGGTTCCTTCACCGCTGCCGGTCTTTATACTCTCCTCTCTCCATTCTGGATGTTTCTCGAGCTTTCGCTCCCCGAGTGTTTCGTCCAATCACAGAGCTTAGCGCTCGCCTCCGGCGTAATGACGTAAGCCGGAAGCGTGTCCTCAGAAATTTCTACCAGCTTCTAGTGACGCTGAGAATCTGTCAGAACGCTGAGATCAATAAAGTACAAAAGACAGGATGAACAGAAAAGGCAATCTAACAAATACGTAAAGAAAATCTAATGACCTCACTGAATTATGTGTTTAATCTCAAACTCAAACTAATTACGTAAATATATGTAAATGTAGTTGTAATTTATGTGGTCAAAAATGACTGATTAGGCCTGTACATAACAAGTTTTAATAATTAACAGATACAGGCACTGGTATGTATCTGTTTAGTTGTATAATTTACTTATTAATTGGCAGAACTATTAAAAGAGGTCACAGCTAAAATGAAAGACAAGACTGAGATGAGAAGCAGGGGGACATCCTTTATAGCAGGAGTAGTAAGTTAATTCAGCAGGATATTTACAGTAAATGTATAATCAGGGCTGGATCAATGGGCCCTTGTGTTGCCAGTCTTAGTTCAGTTAAAAGTTAATCAAACATAAATGTATTTAATGCACACTTAAAGTAGTTCAATGTAGTTATTATTATTATTATTGTTATTATTATTATTTATTGGTGCTGCTATCATTTCTGCTGTTATTATTGATAACACCATTATACCTATGGGTATTACTGTTATATTTTTCACTATTTTTAATCAGTGCCTAAATACAACAGTGGCTGTTTCATTCATTCAAAAATTAATTCGTATCACTATTATCATAACCAGTGATAACTCATTGGTTCACTAACTGGTCACTTCCATATTCACCATGGAAATATGAGGACTTTACTTTACTGTAAAAATTATTTTATTTTTATGACGTCTTAGCTAGCTAGCTAGCTAGCTAGCTAAGACCGTGGGAGGCGGCTAGCTTGCCCCCAGTGGGCCATGAGAAAAAGTCATAATTCTTACTTTTTTTCTCAGAATTCTGAGATTAAAGAACATTTAATTTTATTTAATAATCAAATTAATAGTAATAAAAAAAATCACATGTGGCTCAAATCCTCTTCGGTACTCCATGATGCAGGGTGAGTATTTTTTGTTTGTTTGAATCAGCTGACCTGCAGCTCCGCTCCGTCACATGACTTCATCCGCTTCCTCTGTTTCTTTTCGACAGACTCAGCTGAACTCTATCTGGGGCAAGTACAAACACTACAGCCGTACTTTACCACCTTAAAACACGAGTTTTACTAAAGGCAAAACAGTTAATATTCAGCTGGAGAAAATACGGAATGTACAGCTGACGAACTCAGTTTAAAAATACACCAGTTTAATGTCCCGTGCGTGTGTGTTTTGGCGGGGGGAAACGTCGCGGTGACGATGAAACAAGTTTAAATCCGGAAGGAATAAGTGAAGTATTGTGCATGTAATGTGCGCCGAGTTGACAACTGGATTCTAGTAGCTCTCCACCTTCTTCCCTCTTCCTCTTTGAAGGTATGTAAATTAGGTCGTAACGAAGAACGTCTTAAATTTACTGTTTTCTGCACGGAGTCTGGAATTATGTGTTTTAATGCAGAGCGTAAAGTAAGAGTTTCCAAAGGACAGGAAGAGTGCTAGTAACTGTAATAGTCTACCTGTGTAAAATGCCTCAGGTGGTGACCGAGTAGATTAATACTCGTTCTACTTATTGCAATTCAAAAACTCAAAGAGAGCATGAAGAGGATCAGGGGTCAAAGTCAGCTGCTGCACCTACTGTGATAAGGTATCAGATATCATTTAATCCTGGTGGAGCTGTTGCAGGACACTTCATTTACAGTGATAGTGGTAAATAAAAATGGGACAGTAGAGCATCCAGGACAGCCGTAACTTCACCACTAATGTAGGAAACAAGTTATTACTTATAAATTCCTGTGAGTATGTTTTCTCTTATATGACACATTTTCAAGAGTCATTACTAAATATTTTATCTTACCTTGGTGGTTAAATTTTTATCCTTATGTGCAATTATAATCTTGACAAAAAAATCCCAGTAAATCTGTCTTTCACTGGCACATGTCTCACCTCAGTTTATATTTTTTATAGATCAATAAGAACATATTGTAGAAACACAACTAGGTTTCAAAACACTGTTATTCTGTTTTTTTTATAATACAAAATCACTCAGGATTTATGCAAAGTGCTTTCAGGTCTCTCAGCTGTCGCCTTCTTTTACTCTGGCCACACTCCTGTAGAGAAAAACTTCCATAGTAACAATAAATCCATATAAAAGATGTCATCACTACCTGGCTGTTCAATGTTTTTAACTTCAAAAGTCACAGTTGGGCACTAAACAACAACTCCGAGCCAGGTTCATCACTTTTTTAGTGCCCCCCCCCCGAAACACTTTCATTGTGTTGTGAGTATTTGCGGCTCATGTGTTGTCAAATTGATGTAGTTTTCTGAATTTGCAGCGGTTTGTGTGTTTGCATGTGTTTTCTTAAGCTGCAGTGCGTTGAGCTCTCAGGGCCACCGTACTTTACGTTAGGATATCTATTACAGGAGTCAGCTGTTGACTTTTACTCTTCATGAAGTTGATCAAAATGATCCTGAGGTCAAGATTTCAGAACAAGTAACAGTGACACTTCCTGTTTCAGTAACAGTGAGGAGTGTTTGATTTGCTCTTCTGTGTCTCCCAGTCGTCCGGAGCAGAGTGGATGAGTTGTCTCCACTCGGCGGAGAGAACAAACATAAAACATGCCGTCCAACAGATCGGTGTCCGACGCTCCCATCACTCAGTTCATCAACTGCAGGATCCTGAGAGAGCACAAGCTGCACAGGTAACACACACACACCTGCTCACAGCCGACACACACCACAGGTTAGACTGGACAAACACACAGCTCAGTGTGTGTGTGTGTGTGTGTGTGTGTGCGCGTGTGTGTGTGTGTGTGCGCGCACGCGCACAGAGAGGACCTGTGGGTGCGTGAAGGGAGGATTTTAGATCCAGAGAAGTTGTTCTTTGATGAGCAGGGTTACGCCGACAAGCGTGTGGACTGTGAAGGCAGCATCATCGCCCCGGGGTTTATAGACGTCCAGATCAACGGTACACAACTCTGAACACATCACATGGATCATTGATCAGCACAGTATTGATCACAGAGCCTGATCATATTTATGTGACCTTCAAAACATTTTCATGTATAATTTTCCCTCCTCTCTGTCTCTGGATTTGACATGAACACTTTCTGTTTCAGTTCGTTCTCTGTCTTTATCATAATGAATAAACTATGAACTAAGTCGTGCAGTGTGGAGATGAGTGAGATTCATGAGGTGAACTGGTCACATGATGTCACCACTCTGTCGTCTCCCTTCAGGTGGATTCGGCATCGACTTCTCTCAGGCGTCTGATGACGTCGGCGCCGGAGTTTCCTCTGTGGCTAAAAAGATCCTGGAGCACGGCGTGACGTCCTTCTGTCCCACGCTGGTCACGTCTCCTCCCGCTGTCTACCACAAGGTTACACCAGCTCTTTGTTATTGACCTCCATCAAACTAGCTTCAACAGAGACGCATTACAGCACCGATGGGGGTTTTCTTTTACACAATATCCAAATGTAAAAACAGAAGAATACTTAGTTGATCATATTCATGCTCAGTGCACGTGTCCGTGTCTCCGTCTTCTAATGACTTGATCAAAATGTGTGTTTCAGGTTTTGCCTCAGGTCAAAGTTCACAATGGAGGACAACATGGAGCTGGAGTTCTCGGTAGGATGATCCAGCTAACTCAGCCTTTCTCATAAAGATCCCTGTCCACATCGAAACACATGGGGGAGGAGGAGGGAGGGGCAAGGGGGAGGGGCAAGGGGGAGGGGCAGGAACTCACCTTGTCTTTGCCTCTGTAGGTTTTCACCTGGAGGGCCCGTTCATCAGTGTGGAGAAGAAGGGCGCCCACCCGGAGCAGTACCTCCGCACCTTTCAGTCCGGAGGGATCGACGACCTGATGGAGACCTACGGCGGCCTGGACAATGTTGCCATGGTGACACTGGCTCCAGAGCTGGCCAGCAGCCAATCGGTGGTGAGGGAGCTCTGCCAGAGGGGCATCACGGTGTCGTTAGGTGAGCTTCGTCATCTGGGTTTATACTGGTTCTGACCATATTTGGGTTTTAAGGTTTTTATCTCCCACACAGTTGATTCTGTATTGATTCTGTATTGATTCTGTATTGATTCTGTATTGATTCTGTATTGATGAAACCTGCTGAAATCAAAGCTGAGACTCTGCACTTTAATGTAGAATCCATTATTTTATTTCAAACTGAATGTGCTGTATGGAGGAGCAGGGACGTCACAGGAGAAGTATATAAAATATTTCCTTAATTGTAAAAATAATTTATAAATGAACGATTAATCCATCAATAAATACTTCAGATTTAAAAATGGATTTACAAAAACAGCATAAAACTCTCATTAAATAAACCGTTTATTTCATTTCCCTTTTCCACCTGCTTCAATCAGCCAATAGGAAAAGTAAAAGCAGATGGAAAAAGAAATGGAAATTGAAAAGGGAATCCAGGGATAAATTCTCCTTTTTAAAATACCTTTTCAAATAGTTTTTATTTAAAAACGGTTTATTTAATGAGAGTTTTATGCTGTTTTTGTAAATTCCATTTTAAGATCTGAAGTATTTATTGATGGATTAATTGTTCATTTATAAATTATTTTTACAATTCCTATTTCTAAAATATGAAATGAAGGAAATGCTTCATTACTTTTCCTGCTGCTCCATCGATCAGCAGCTCTGATGTTGGTCACTGTTGCTCGTGCAGGTCACTCGGTGGCAAACCTGTCTCAGGCTGAGGAGGCCGTTCAGCATGGAGCCTCCTTCATCACTCACCTGTTCAACGCCATGTTACCTGTGAGTCCCACCCGCTGCTCTCTCGGGCCATAGAATGGAAATTAAAATGCTAAAGTAAATAAATAGGAGAATTAATATAAAGGTATATAATTACAGAAGCAAATTAAAACAGAAATATCAGTTTATGTCACATTTTATTACTAAATAAATGCTTGTGTTTATTTTTAATATTATTTTGGTGCATTATAGCGTATTAATTCATTTATTAATTTTCGACCTTCAGTCCTCCGTAGTTTAGTTGCAGTGTCATAAATGGGACAATCTGACTTTTGTCTTTGCTGTGATCCAGTTCCACCACCGGGACCCTGGTATCGTGGGTCTGCTGACCAGTGATCAGGTCCCTGCGGGCAGGACGGTCTACTACGGCATGATCGCCGACGGGATCCACACCAACCCTGCTGCTCTACGCATCGCCCACAGAGCTCACCCCTCAGGTCAGAGGTCGTGCTCTTCTCTCATTGGTTCTCCTGCTTCTTCCTGAGAGTTCAGGGACGGCGACTGAGCTTGAATTTATTTATTTATTTATTTATTCGTTCGTTCGTTCATTCGTTCATTCGTTCACTTATTTATTTATTTATTTATTTGGATCCCATCAGCCACTAGCAGCTTCTCTTCCTGGGCTCCACTCAGGTAAACATGACGTCATAATGCAAAACAACAATGTTCATTAAAATCAAGCGCAAACAAAGGAACAACAAAATAATGACAAAAACAAACAAAAGTAAAATTACTGATAACAACGACAAGTTCCCGCTTTATTTAAAGTGAAAGTAAAACATTTGATACTGATCAAAAAACAATAATACACTAAAAACAGCAGATACAGTGACGAAGAATAAAATTAGGTAAAAAAAATGAAGAAAAAAAACAAGTTCCTAGTTAATGATCATATTCATGATATTCATAATCTGATATTATGAAGTGGAACTGTTTGTAGAGGGAGTTCTGTGCTGTTAGATCAGGGCCGACGTACGTTCCCACCAAGCTTGTTGAAGTTTCTGCCACTTTTATAATAATTAACAGAAATAAAACTTTTTATTCCTCCGTGGCCACGACAGTCGGAGCAGGAGGCCGTGTTGTTTTCACGATATCTCAGTAACTGGAAGTTTGGCAGCAACGTTCACCTGGACTCAAGGATGAACTGATAAGATTTTGGTGGCTAAAGGTCAAAGGTCAAAGAGTGACCTCACAGAACACTTTTTAGCCATTACTCAAGACTGGATAAACAGGGATGTAACCTGGAACTAGTCTGAGTGGCGGAGGGATACGACCACATGATTGTAAATAATAGGAATAAGCTCATAACTCCCCTGAAGTTCAGGCAGAAGCAGCTTTAGTTGAATATTGTCGTCGTTTTCTCTGCAGCTCGACTGTGGAGGATTAATTATCCACCGTGGACGCGTCGTTATTGAGGATGATTGCTTGGTTTGTTGTGCTGTGTGTGCAGTCTGTGCTCCCAGCTGAAGACCAGCACCGTCTAGAGACCAGTGCAGCCACTCATCATTACCAGTGAACGCAGCAGCTGCTGTTTTCTTTGTTCAGGCTTCTGGGTTTTCTCCGGGTGTTTAGGGAGGAAATGAAAATAGAACAGACCGAACACCATCAGCACGTCTCCGTCAGCGCCTCTGCTCGCTGTGTTTACACGAGGAAGCAGGTCATTATATTCTCTGTAGGAGTCGCCTCACCAGGAACAGATACAGTCGTTCCTTCACACTGATGAACCGGAGCAAAGCTGATCAGATCAGAGGAATGCTCATAAAGATAAACAGTACAGTAGGTTTTTAAAGATATAATAACAATAAAGTAGAGTTAAAAAAAAACTGGACTAAAAATATATAATAAATAAAAATAAACTCTAATTTAAAAAATAAATTATTTGATCAATTGTTTTGTCTACAGAAGAGCAGAAGATATCGTCAAAGGCCTTTTAATCTAAATGAATCTGTCGATTTCTTGTTTTATTCGTCCAAAATTCAAAAACATTGAGTTTATTATCAAATATGACAAAGAAAAGTGTGTTTTTGTTTGATTTCATCTCTTTTCTAACCTGCAGTTCTGAGCGTTTACATCGTCATCTTATTGTCGACCTGGTTCTGTATCTTAATGCATATTTAAAAGCATTATGATAAATATACACTCTGATCGCTGGTTATATAAACACATTTATGAATACAGATCTAAATGTAAATTTAAGTCGCTGAAAATTCTTATTTCTGCTGTTAATGTTTCTTCTTCTGATTTTTTTTTGATTTTTCTCTTCTCATGTCTCACCTGTAAATGAGATCTCGATCTCAGTGTGACTTCCTGATTGAATAAAGTATATTAATATATGTATGTATAAGATGTTAATCACCACAATAGTTTATAAGTTTAACCTGTAGCAGTGCATCATAACCTGAGTGCAGCTGTCAGGTAAACGTTGTGCAGCAGAAGGTTTCTCTATAAAATGTGCAAACAGAATATTCGTGTCTTCAGTTTCGGACTCGTGACTCCACCTGCTGGTCAGAGCGGTGACGTGTCCTTGTTACTTTCAGGTTTGGTTCTGGTGACGGATGCGATCGCAGCGATGGGTCTCCCCCCCGGCCGCCACACTCTGGGTCAGCAGGTCATCGAGATCCAGGGTCTCCACGCTTACGTAGCAGGTCTCGCTTTCCCCTCAGCTTCACAGCAGACGATCTTTCAGCAGTACAAACAATAACGAGGATTTATCGTGGATTGATTATCGATTTGAACTCCACTGTAGTTTCTCTCTGTGTCTCTCAGGCACTAAGACGCTCAGCGGCAGCATCGCCACGATGGACATGTGCGTCCGCCACTTCAGGCAGGCTTCAGGTCAGTGTGTGTCGCTCGGTTTCAGTCACAGTGAATCCACCTCTAAACCAGTGCAGTGAAACCTCGATGGGAGTCGGAGTCAGCAGCTTGTATGAAAATGTTACACATCGATATTAACTGATATGATGATGAGGAGGTCGTCCTCAGTTCTTCATCTCATGGATCCACAAGCTGGTGGAACTCTGGATCCTCCATCTTTTCTGAATTGTCTTTTTATATATATATATATGTGTGTGTGTGTGTTCACAGGCTGCAGTGTGTGTGTGTGTGTTCACAGGCTGCAGTGTGTGTGTGTGTGTGTGTGTGTGTGTGTGTTCACAGGCTGCAGTGTAGAAGAAGCTCTGGAAGCTGCCTCCCTCCATCCAGCTCAACTTCTGGGGATCAGCCACAGGAAGGGGAACCTGGACTACGGCTCCGACGCAGGTCTGGATCTGCTGCATCAGTGCACTATAAAAAAACACATTACATTTCTTTTCTGCAGTGTTCATTGTGTAACACACACACACACACACACACACACACACACTCTTGTGTTTTGCAGACCTCGTTTTGCTCGATGACACCCTCGACATCAAAGCCACCTATATTTCTGGAGAGGAGGTTTGGAGAAAAGCACCATAGAAGAAGAGGAAGAAGACGCTGCAACCGTGCTGATGGAAACTGGCCCGACAGCTCCGGACCCGCGGTGCCTTCAGGGGACGCTGTTTCCCAAAGAACCACAGATCTGCGACCAACCATCCAATCAAAACCTGGTCGACTGTCTGGGACACGCCCCCTTTGATTCAACGCCATGAAACAATTGGACACGAGATACTTTTTAATAACGGTGTTAGAAATAGATCCAAAACCAAACCAGGAAGTAACAACACAGAAAGTGAGACCTTTGTAAACGATAAGGTCACACCCACGGTCTCTCCTGATTGGCTGTCATCAGCCTGGACTACCAGTGGTGAATACAACACGATAATGAATGACAGAGTTACTGACCTTGTTGTCTTTGTAGCAGCTGTTGTTCACTTACACTCTCTGTCTCTGCTGTTCCTCCTTCAGAGGAGACAATCTACTTCCTGTTTACACCGGCTCGCACATGCTCAGTGCAGATGCTTGCTCAGGTATGTGTCTTCAGGTGTTAGTCTCGTGTGTGGACGTAGCCACAGTCCTACCTGAATGTAAGTAGATCTGAACTGATGACATGACGTATGAAGGCTTTTATGAATGATTATGTACTTACTGTAAGAAACAGTTTTTTTTGCTTGTATCTAAATACTTTTCTTACTTCATTTAATCATGTTACATAGTTTTGATTCAAAGGGAAATATTTTGGTATTAAACTGGACAAATCGCCTGAATGTTCTCAGTGCTCGCCACAGGCAACACGGGGAGGACACCGATGTTTTAAACTATCAGGATTTTTGTTTCTGAGCATCGTACTTTCTATGCAAATTATACAACCTGCTGTATAAATGACATTGGGCTATGTAAATTAAATTTGACTTGACTTCCCTCTCAAGTGAAGGAGTGTAAATCGTGTTTTTTTTGTTTTGTTTACTTTTCTTTTTTCTTTTGCCTATACTTGTTTTCATTTTGGATAATTAAATAGACTGAAATTTGCTATGAGCATTTCCTGTTTGCTTTATTTATTGGATGTAGCGACAACGTCTAGAAAAACACTTTTATACAGAAGAAACTAAAAAATCGGATAATTATGAGGCAAGTTCTGCCGCTATAAGAAGCGTCTTTCTTTTGTCTTTTTTTGTGATTTTCTACGCAAATGTGGACGTTTATTTACGGAGATGATGATATCCTTTGAAATTGTGGGTTAAACTAAATCTGAAAAATATGTTTTGGTTTTTTTTATTCAGTGGAAAACAGCTGATAAATACAGATGCTGAGAAAAGCCACACTCACAAATCATTTTTTTTATCAAGATCAATAATGTTAATATCAATAATTATCCCAATAGTTTGAGAGAAGTTCAGTTATCCATTATCTCGAGGTAACGAGATAATTATTACGTTATCTCGAGGAGTGCCATAAAATAAAGAATAAATCTGTAAAAGAATAAGTGAATAAATGTGGAAATATAACGAGGAATAAATAGCCTAACAGAATAAATAAGTTAATACAAAAATCTGGAAATATAAAGAGAATTCAAGCAGTTTCCTGTATTTTTACATTCATTTGTTCATTTTTAACCCTTTATTTTTCCTATTCCTATTTTCTTTATTGTTTTTACAGCTAAAAGTTGGTGGTTTGTGGGTGGGGTTAGGTGAGGTGAGGTGAGGTGGTTTATGTGCAGGTATTTAAAAACCTTCACATCTCTAGTCACACCTTCCTGTTCCAGTAGACTCTGCTCGAGCGCTCTGTGTGTCCACACTCAGTTTGAAGACCGGCGCCATGGAGCTGAAGCTGCTTTGTGCTGCCGTGCTGTTGGCCTTCATGGTTACAGGTGGGTGCTGGTCAATATTCTGTAAAACGTCAAGCTGGTCTCAGTACAGTGTCAGTGTTGATCATCTGACTCGTATTTTTAATGACTACAGTGAAAAGAAATCTGAATAGAGCAGATTGACTTTTCTGTTTCAGTATAACTTTGTATTTACAGGAAATCCAGACAATTCATTCATGTTATTCATGTATCAGTGTCTTTGTGTATTTACAGTGTTTTTCCCTGTCTGGTCAGTTTACAGTCATTCATGCACAGTCATAAAACAACAGAGACACAAACCGGTTTATATTCTAACATTAGACAAACAGTGAAAACTCAATAGAAAAGTGTCTTTTATGTAGAATAAATAACTTCATATGATGGTAGAACAGAGGAACTTAAAGACGCTTCCAACTGTGACATTGAGGATATTTTTACTTGGGTAACACAGGGTTTGAAAAGTGAGGGCATACTTTGTGTCTTGTACAAATACATGTGCAGAAGTAAGGAGTCTATTTTCAAACCAGATATAGGATGAGACAGCACTGTTTATGTTGTGTTACATAACCTGTTTCTTCTGTAAAGCTTTGCCAGTGTTTGCCTTGTTCCTCTCCAGTGACTATATATAGATACAGTCATTGATATTCTGCCCTTAACATATACTAGTTCCCTCACATTGGGCACAATAAAATTTGACTTTACTTCCCTCTGAAATGTAGTAGAGTATAAATTAGCATAAAATGGAAATACTGCAAAATTATACTTGCAGTACAGTACTTTACATCACAGATGACCCTTGGGCCTGATAGTTTCAGGGTTCATCTTCTGTTCAGTGAATGGCTCAGAGTTTTGTTTTTTTTAATCTTATAATTGCATTCTGTAAAATTAAGTAAGCCGAAATTCGTTATTAGTAGTTCCTGTTTAATATAATATACCATTGGATGTACCAACAACTTCCAGAAAAATATTTTTATACAACAGAAAACTTCAAAATCAGAGACAAGTGAGGCAAGTTCTGTCTTTGAAAGGAGATGATTTCTAAATAGGTCGTAACGTTTAAATAAACACGTTTCAAATATGTTTTTTTTTTAAAATTTTTTTATAAATCTGTGTTTTTGGTTTGTTTATTTGTTTGTTATTTCTCTGTTCAGCTGAAACCGCCAAATCCGACCGGCGATCATTACATTGAACACCACTTTAATGGCGGGCCAAAAAATAGGCTACTTCGTTGCCGCTAAAGAAAACACAAAAGACCAAAGGTGTAAGTTATAACTAAGATTTATCCCTGTATCGATCGTTAGCCTCCGTTCAGTGTGCGCTACAACATGAAGAACTTCTTTAAAAACTCAGACAAAACAACAACTTTCAACAGGATCTGGACGAGAAGAAACTCCCGCCAAAAAATGTGCAATTTTATGGACAAAATGGCGACTACACGGTGGGTCACTCATGAACTGGAATAACAGCAAAGACCCGGGATTTATCAGATAAACATAGGTCACAATTTATGAGGTGTTTAATTACTTGATTAATTTCTTTAAGAGTTATTAACAGTGATCAGACCAATATAGACACACAACATTTTAAATTTTCTTAAAATAAAGTTCTGGTTGGTGAATTACTTGTTAGCCGAATTAACCGGAAAGCAGCCATGAATCGTTAAAAGGAACTTACATTCACGTTTAACAAGGTATGTGTATATGCTATGAAGACAGACAATATTACTGGTAAATGTATAATGGAGTTTGGTCTGTTGTGTGGAACTGAACTGTCGTCTCGATGTATTCAGCTTCCATTAACCAGGACTGTAACAGGGGAAGAAGATATTCGTCTTGACCGGATAAGAGGTCGATGTGTCCCGACGGCTGTCCGGTGTCCTGTCCTGAAAATGTCCCTGGAGAAAAGGAGCTGTCGCCGGTGGCGGGCTGAAGGAGAAGAGCGCCAAGCTGAAAACAGTAAGGCCGACATTAAGAGGAAACAGCCTTCAAAATAAAAGACAGGACTGGAGCGTTAACCCAAACCCAGTCTACTTTATTCAGATTTTATTTTTTCAACAGATTTTAATTATGTTTTTGCTGATAGTTGCTTGATGGTCATTGAAGGTCATTTAGTGCTGAAATAACTGAGTAATTGTTTTTCTATAAAATATTAAAGGATAGTGAAAATATAATGTCCCACAGCCCAAGATATGGTCTTCAATTATCTTATTTTGTCCAAACTACTATCTGTGAAACTGAAACTAGTCAAACTTTAACATTTTTGCTTTAGAAAATTAGTAAAACAATTATTTGATCATTAAAATAGTTTTAATTTCTGTTAATTGACTATAGATTAATCAATCAAACAATTCGGGCTGTTAGTCAAACATAACAAGTCATTTAAAAACATCTTTTGTAGTTTTTAACAATTTATGAAGTTACAATTAAGCAATTACTCCAAAGAAATTTGGCAGATCAGACCAATATTGACAATTGAAATAATTATTAATTGCAGTTCCCATCGTTATACAACAGAAATGGGCTGAAATCCAACAATCCATCTGCAGCTTCCTTTATTTGTCAAATTGTGACAGTGGAAATTGTTGTTAATTAAAAGCAGTTTTCATATATATTCCCATTTATTCTTATTGATTGACATTTATAATACTTTAAAAATGTTGCCAGTAGGGATTTTATTTTGAATGCAGTGACAGGAAGTGTTTGTTATTCATTGTGGTTGACAGTGATGGTGAGGAGAGCAGTGGTGACTGTGCATATGGGTGCTTAAAGGAAAGAGGATGCATGGAGATCTCAGACAGCTGGCAGGAACATCCGTCCGCTTCATGCTCCGTCCGTCCCGGCAGCAGTCAGGTGAGTCCCGCTCTCCACACGGCCGCTGTTTGTTTTCAGGTCTTCGTGCTGCTCTGCAGCTTCTCGTCCAGCCGCCAGCTGTATACTGCAGGTGCACCAGGTTACCTGAAGTCTATGTGAACTTCAGTATCAGCAGGGATGCATCTGCATTGAGGTACAGGGGAGTTCACTTGGATGCAAACCACATCAAACAGCATGAATTCAGTTTTAACTGTTAAAATTTCATTCTTTAATGTAGTGATTGTTCTTTTTTTGTCACTCTGAGATAAAAGACACACCAACGAAGAAGGAGACAAATGCTGTGAGATGTGTGATTTTGAATATCTGACAACAGTAGTGGATTTTGGTAGAGAGCAGAGAACACACATCTTCTGATCAGCGTGTCCTTTTTTAAAGTGTGAGCTCCTGAGGTTATCAGAGATTTCAAGTCCTTGTTCAAGGACAAAACTGTGGAGAGAGCAGGGAGGGAGCTGAAGCAGCACATACAGGAGAAGCACATGACAGAACATGACATCTGTGTCTCTCTGAGTCTGAGCAATGTCACCCACTAATGTTTCTGTGAATCCTGTGTCTTTGTTTCTCTGTCCCTGACAGTATTGACTGAGTGGATCTTTAAACTAATCGATATAACACCAGCTCTCAGTCTGAGGTCAAAATGATATGATAAAGATTATTTTTCTACCAGTTTGAAAATCCTTTGATGTATCAGTTATCAGTTTTCATGTCAGCATTCACCTTGATGCTGTTTGATATGATACAGTATGGATGTGTAATGCATTCACTTAAGGAAAAAAGAAATCTGATTTTTTTAAAGAAAACCATTCTCAGAATTCTGAGATAATTATTTCATTAATTCAGAAAAACAGCAGGAATTTTATTTATTTAATGTTTTTTAAGAAAACCTTTCTCAAAAAAAATGTGTTTATGTGAAGTACTCCTGACCTTGTCTAATATGTTTAATGTGCATCTTTCTAATTCTAATATGCATCTTTTTAATGAAGGCTGCAACTAAAGATTTTTTTTAACATTGATTGTTGTGCAGATTATTTTCCCAATATATTGTTTTGTCTATAAAATGATAGAAAACAGTGAAAAATCTTATAAATAAAAAAGAAAAAAGTGACACATGTAAAATCTAGCTTTGTCCGACCAACAGTCTAAAAGCCAAAGATAATCAGTTAAATGTGACATATGACAAAGAAAAGCATCAATTCTACTTAATGTAAGAATCTGGAATCAGAATCTTTTTTTTGTTGAAAAAAAAAGAGAAGACGATTAAAGCTCCTCCAGTGTAAAGGTCTGTGTCCATGTGTTTGATTATAGATCAGGTCTAGCTTCTATATTAATACTGTGAAAGTATCAAAGCCTCAGTCCACAGAGAAATGCACACAGCCTGTATTCAGAAACTGAGCCTTAAAACCAGCCGTCAGGACTTCTGGAACTTTGTGATGTCACAACAAAGCAGTCACCAAGCCCCGCCCACCTGGACCCACCATCCAACACTTGCAGGATTTGGTTTCTCTGAGTGTTTTTACCTGAAATCTGATATATTTTTATTGGATCACTCAGAAAACAGTCAGCCAATCAGAAGAGAGGCTCAGAGCCTCCTCTCTTCTGATTGGCTCACCGACCTGTTGTTACTAGAGCTCCAGAGTGAAGCCTGAGAGAGGAGATGTAAAACTACACTGAGATGGTTTTTATATCTTCTGATGGATCAACACTTCAAATAAAACACAGAAGAAGAAGAAAATATGATTTAATAATAATGAAATGATAATAAAATAAGGACCTTTAATGATTAACTGCTTCCACCACAGTTTGTTTCAGTCTCCGTCACCAGCAGATGCTGACTGTCCCTCTGCCCTCTCTTCTTTCAGGGCCTCTCCACTTGAGCCAGCGGCACCATGGGGAGCTCCACCTCCTCCCTTGTTGAAGAGGCCGAGGGTGAAGTCGCACCCCGGGGTGCGGCTCTGCCCCCCTCCCCCGTCATGGGGTGTCTAAGGAGCAGCCAGAGCACCTTCATCCCTCGGCAGCTTCCCAGACCGAGCAGGCACAGAGAGCGCAGGTAAGAGACGGGCGGCGGTAAACCCGTCGTCCTAACGCCGAACACGCCGTCAGTCTTCACACCAGCAGGAAGTAACAGCGTGTGAAAATAATCCAAGTCCACATTTAGCAAAGCTTTATGGTCCTGAAGGAGAATCTGAAGAACAGTTCCCTCCTCCCTCAGACGAACAGAAAACCTGTGAACAGACAGCTGCTGGTTCAAAGTCACAAATCAGCTCAGACACAGTGATGAATGTATTTAATAGCTACATTTCAATTAACCAACCATAATCAATAATTAAGTCCTGCGAATCCCTCAGTCACCTTCAGAGAAAATCAGATCCTGCGGCGTCTTGTCTTGTTCTCAGTTTAAACAAACGCTTCACCCAGTAAATATAGACACGGTTCCCGCGGGTCATTAAAGAGCCTGAAATTAAAATAGATAATAATAATAAACACTTTATAAAATAAAGGAAAATAAAGTCTTAAAACGTCTCATATTTACTGTGAACTTGTTTTAGGTATTAAATTTGCAGATAGTGTGTTTCAGACTGGGAAAAAAAAACAAAGCTAAAAGGCCAATTATAATGATGGTGTTGTGGTTGATACACACTGTTGTCACTTTGTTCACAGACACATTTATTTTTAAGATGTGGTCATGCCGACACGCTGGGGGGGGGGGGGGGGGGGGTGTGTGGGTTGGGGGGGGGCGAGCGGGGGGGGGGGGGGGGGGGGTGGGGGGGGGGGGGGGGGGGGGGGGGGGCGGGGGGGGGGGTGGGGGGGGGGGGGGGGGGGGGGGGGGGGGGGGGGGGGGGGGGGGGGGGGGGGGGGGGGGGGGGGGTCGAAATGGCGCAGGAACCTTGATAGACCTAATGAGGTTTATATTCCATAAACATGTTCCTCTGTCTCTTCTTCTTCACTGTAAAACGCTGCAGAAAACCTGCTGTTTGCTTCTAATATCAGTCTAATATTTGAGTTTAGAAAGTTTCTGTAAAACCTGATGAGCTGTGTTTGTCAGTGTTTGTCAGTGTTTGTCAGTGTCACATGATCACGGCTCTACTTTCATGTGTAAATGCAGATCTGTGCTTTCAGGCTCCTCTCTCTCCTCGGCACTAACTTAGCTCTTCACACTCTTCTCACCTGCTCATAAACAAACCAGCGGGACACTTCACTTCCTCTGATAACAACCGTTTTCCAAAGCACCACGGCCCGAGGTTCAGACACTCATCACGACTGCTCCACACTTGGTAAACCGGTGCGCAGCAGCCCGAGGCTACAGACCATTTAATATTTTATTTAAGCCTGTGTGTAACGACATTATCAGCAAAAAGCTTGATGCAAACCCGAGGTCACCAAACTGTTCCCCCTCCTCTCCTGAGTCTCTCCATCACAGAGCCACAGCCTCAGACAGAAACACACCTCTGTGCAGAGGTTTGGGTTGATCTTTGACGGTAAAACAAATCAATTTTTATTATTACTTATGTAACGCCAAATCACAACAGAAGTTATCTCAAAGCACTCTTCAGACAGAGCAGGTCTAGACCTTCTCTTTATGAAATTATTCACAGAGACAGAGCGGTTCCCACCATGAGCTGCACCTGGCCACAATGGCGAGAAAAAAATTCCTTTAAGAGGCAGAAACCTCGAACAGAACCGGACGCAAGAAAAACGAACAAGTCAAAAGAAACAGCACAATATATTAGAGTTTTCCTCTCTGAGAGCATCTTCTGTGATTTTTAAGGAGTTATTATGATGATTTATTAATGATAATACGCCACACATTGCACCTTTAATGCGATGGCTGAACGGGTGGATATTTAATTTATATTCTACACTGGAGTATGTCGTCATGAATTCTTCATGAACCGGTCGATATAAAATAAACCTCAGCCTTCCTGAGCGTCGTCAAATCTCCACTTATGAATTATTCCTGTATCTCTGTCTCGTACAGCGTCTATACTCTGTCCACCGTCCGTCCTCTCTGCTGCCACACTGTCCCAGCCGTCATCAGACTCGCCGTCAGTGGGAGTCGAGTTACTCGCTGACAGGAAACGTAACGCCATCGGGGAAATCCCAGGTGATTGGACGACAGACAATTAGTCTGGAAAAGCACACATGAGCTTTCCAAAGGGGATTCAGATCTGCAGACCTCTGAACATCACATCTGATGCAGAGAGATCAAAATACCCTTTATAAAGACTAACAGTCACGTCTGAGAAGATAAAACAATGCTGACAAAGTTTCATAAAACATTAGCGTTTAAAATATTATTTATTATCCCAAATCAGCAGCTCAAGTGATTTAAAGCTCCATATTTTCTTCTTCTTCTGTGTTTTATTTGAAATGTTGATCCATCAGAAGATATAAAAACCATCTCAGTGTAGTTTTACATCTCCTCTCTCAGGCTTCTCTCTGCAGCTCTAGTAACAACAGGTCGGTGAGCCAATCAGAAGAGAGGAGGCTCTGAGCCTCTCTTCTGATTGGCTGACTGTTTTCTGAGTGATCCAATAAAAATATAGCAGATTTCAAGGAAAAACACTCAGAGAAACCAAATCCTGCAAGGTTTGGATGGTGGGTCCAGGTGGGCGGGGCTTGGTGGCTGCTTTGTTGTGACATCACAAAGTTACAGGTCCAGATGGCTCATTTTAATTAAGACTCAGTTTCTGCCTCTTTTTTGTTTTCTTAGGATTTTAAAAATATTTATAGTGAAAAATGTTTAATATTTTTGTATTTTGCAATTTTTAAAACATTTATGAAATATATTCTTAAAATTCAGGATTTATTTTGGGAAAATTGGGATTTTAAAAACTACTTTTCATGTTTATAAGAAGCAGGCAGCAATAGGTGGAAAAAATCTTATAAAGTTTTTTAATTTTAGATTCAAATTTTTTTGTATGTAGGTGACATGAAAAACAGTTATTCTTTATAAAATATATATAGCATGATATAGTAGTATAGTATAATAGTCTGCCAATTATCTTGATGATTTATGAATTAATAATTTGGTCCATAAAATGTCAGATATTTAAAAAAAAAGGTTTATAAAATGTTGGTTGAAGAAAAAGAGAGAAGAGAATTTAAATGTCTGGTTTGGTTTAATGAACAGTGAATTTAAATCATCTAAAAAAGTTTATCAATGAAAAATTGACTATTAAAATTGTTGCGCATTAATCAGCAAATTGCTTCAGCTCTCGTGAAAAAGGTAAATATATTTATTTTAAAGTTTAAATTCTTAAAAACTCATGATTCAGAAGCAAAACATTTCTTTTAGATACGGCAGAATTTAAAAAACATTGTCAGCAAATAAATGTAGAAGTGAGAAAAATGAATGTGAAGTATATAATAAATGTTAATCGGTATATTTAGCAGGAAGCAGTGGAGGTGATGCAGGTATCTGTGCTTCATTGTGTAACACCTGAGCTCTGCATCACAGAAACACCTGCGTCTCTCAGACCGTTTGCTCTGCGGTAACCCGTCCAGGTCGGCCTGTGCCGGAAGTTTCAGGCGTGATGCCAAAGCTACTTAGAGCGCAGCTTGAAAATGTGGGCCAGCCTCCACACAGATGTCCCGCCGGCTCCTCCAGCCTAAATTTCTCCCCGGATGCCTCGGCTCAGATAATGTGGATCTGCTCTGAGCACAATCAGGAACACAGATCTTAGACGTGTAGCAGTGTTTGTTCCTTGTTCAGTGTGCCACAAAGAGCCGAGCGCTCTGCTCTGCGCACGCTGTGAGCTGATCTTCCTGCTGGGACAGAACGTGAGGAGGGCAGGAAGCCACCGGTCCCTGTGAGGCACCGGTGGAAGAACACGTTCTGTTTTAACTGTGCTGCAGCTTCTTCTATCATTTCCATATTCATGCATTTTAATTTTTCTCCCTCTGAGCCGCCACAGGGTAGAAAATGCAAGAACTGTTAATGCAGCCTTTTATATTTGGAGATTTCCCTCCTCTGCTCAGGCTTTTTCTGCCTCTGCTCTCCAGAGATTTTACACTGACTGAAACCAGAGTTCAGCTGAAGACGGTTCTGATCATTTTCATTTCACCGCACTTCAGCTGATACGTGTGGCGGTTATTTTATCAGTAAATGTGACCTACAATCACCTCCTCGTGGTCGTATCCCTCCGCCACTCAGACTAGTTTCAGGTCACATCCCTGTTTATCCAGAGTCATATAAAATATTAAACATCTGTGTGTCTTGAGTTATGGCTAAAAACATGCTTTGTGAGGTCACACTGACCTTTGACCTTTGACGGTCAAAGTCTAATTAGATCATCCTTGAGTCCAAGTCAATGTTTGTGTATAATATTTAGTATATAATAGAAATGGAAAGAGTATAAAATGTGTAAATTGATATAATAAATGTCCAGATTGTGTTTGTGAAGTTCTGTGTTTCCCTCCAGTTTCTCTTCTGGTTCGATGCCCATGCAGAGGAGCCAGTGGGCCTGTGGCTGTTGTACCTTCCTGAATGCAGCCGGCGCCCCCCGCTGCTCCATCTGTGAAGCCCCGCGGCGAAGACCCGACACCCGCTGGATGTGGCACGGGTCCAGCAGGGAGGACGGTCGCTGGTCCTGCCCGCGCTGCACGCTGGCCAACTCGCGTGGCAGCCTGGCGTGCTCGCTGTGCGGCTACACCGGAGCGCCGGACCGACCCCGGGACTCCTCCGAAGACCAGCCACGGCCTCAGCGCTCCAGCAGCTGCTCCGGTCCCCTGAGGCCGTCGTCAGCTGACAGGAAACAGCCAGAAGATGCAGACGGACACAGCCTGACCTGGGACTGTTTGAGGTGCACTCTGCAGAACACCCCTACCTCCATGTCCTGCTCTGCCTGCGGGGGACCACGCAAACTGTCTCTGCCCCAGATCCCCGCCGAGGCCTTGCTCATGCCTGAGGTCTGTGATCAAACAGGAACACAGCAACCAGAACCTGCAGCGGGGGGGCTTTCACTTTCCATATCAACCAGGGGAGAGTGTTTACCGGTGGAAGCTTCATACCCCGACCCGCCCTCCTCCTCGTCTTCAGGTCATAATAATCCAGTTCCCTGCAGCCGCAGAGAGGTGCCGCCGCCAGATGTTTGCCTCAGTCAAGCACACAGCATCAGTCCGTCTCCTTCGACCCTCGCCGTGTCACATCTGTCTGCCCAGCCAGAGCTGCTGCCCGGGAGACGGCTCAGCATCCTGAAAGAGGAAATGTCACCTCTGTCGCCTGCATCAGATGCCTCCGTGTCGTTTCCACCCGTCAACAGGACGGAGGAGTGGTCGTGTCCGGCGTGCACCCTCATCAACAAGGTCAGAGACAAACACTGCCTGGCGTGCCACACCCCCCAGCAGCACGCCGCGCAGCTGAAACCGGCGCCGTCCCCCAGGAGGAAGGAGAGCATGCTGGTGGAGGCGCTGCGGCAGAGCGACGAAGGAGAGGCCAAAGAGCTGTGGGAGAACATTGTCAGCTTCTGCAGGGAGGTTAGTACACGAACCTTCAACCCAGCACCACACTCCAGATCAATCCAAACTTGAAGCCTCAGAGGAGGAGATGTGATTTTACTGATCAACTGCCACATCAGACACAAACTATTATGACTGTTATCCATTTTTAATGTGTCTTAAAACATATCCAGAATGTTTCTATGTTAAAGCTTCCCCTGAAAAGAGCCAGAGCTGCAGAATAAATCTGGTTTAGTGGAATAAAAAGATCTTTAAATGAATTCTGTCAAACTAATCTGAAATACACCAGTTAATGTGACTGTGGCCTCTGGTCCGGAGCAGATGTCCTCAGACGGTGCACGGCTTTCAGTTTCCCCCCTCAGCTGTGACACCCTCCAGTCTGCGGGTTCAAATCACCGCCCCAGCTGCCCCCTGACCTCCAGCTGCCCCCTGACCTCCAGCTGCCCCCTGCTCCACACGCAGCAGCAGAGAGCGTCTGCATATTCAGTATCTCCACTGAACACAGCTCCAGGTCCGGTTGTTAAAGTCACAGTGAGAGAAAACATGAAAACAAGAAGCGATGTGGGAATTCAGGATTCAGCTGAAACTGTTGTACCTCCAGCAGAAAATTAAAAACTTTGATTCAAGCAGAAAAGTGGAAGCAGCCGACTCTTCAAACCAACAGAAGAAGAAGAATACGTCAGTGTAGGAAATAACAACATGACAATAAACAGAAATATAATATATGACATATATCTGACACCTATAAGAGGATATATTAAATCACATATATACATCCACTGGATATATGAAGATATACGTTTATTACATATATAAAATACAATTTGTACATGATATTTTACATGATATAACCATATATGTTAATGATATATATTTAATTTAAGTATGGAAGTTTATTAAAACAACATACATATAAAATTCTCTATGTTTATTTATAATTTCTTATTAATTTTAAACATGTATCTTCACATTCTGGGAAAGTGGCCTCAGACTTTTGTTTTATAATATGAACATATACATAAACATGCATATTAGTATGGGCTGGACATGTATGTCAGTGTATGAAATAGTTCCCATTTCTAATATATGTTTTATTTTATAAGTACTTATATTTCAAACATGGAAACTCAGTATATGTACCTGTATTACATTTGTGTGTGGGAACAAAAAGAAAAAAGAAAAGCCATGTAATTTTCCACATGGTTAATGCGTGAGGCTGTAAAACTGGATGTATGGAAACAGGTACAAGTCGTTTCTTCTATTTTCCAGAACGCCGTGACGTTTGTGGACGACAGTTTCCCCCCCAGTCCAAAGTCCGTGGGCTTCCCGGCGGACGACAGCGTCCAGCATCGGGTCAAAAAGTGGCTTCGTCCTCAAGAAATCAACTGCTGCAACTTCAGAGAGCGGGGGGTGAAGTGGTCCGTGTTCCGCATGCCTCGCCCATCTGACATCCTGCAGGGACTTCTGGGTAACTGCTGGTGAGGAAAACACAGACAAGACACAAACTAGTCACCTCCTCGCGGTCGTATCCCTCCGCCACTCAGACTAGTTCCAGGTTTACATCCCTGTTTCTCCAGAGTCGTAGAAAATATGAAGCCTGCGGACCGTCCCGTGCTTCTGTATGAGTTGTTTGGTCTGACGTCATCCACAGAGGTGGAAGGGTTTCTCTAAGATACAGAGGGAAGTGTTTCGTTTGTCGCTCAGCGCCGTGTCTCTGCTCTGGAGAACAGGTTCCTCAGTGCCTTGGCTGTTCTGGCAGAACGTCCCGAGCTGGTGGAGAAAGTGATGGTGACCCGCGCGCTGTGTGCGGAGGGAGCCTATCAGGTGCGTCTCTGCAAGGACGGCTCGTGGACCACGGTGTTGGTGGACGACATGCTGCCGTGCGACGAGAGCGGCCACCTCCTCTTCTCTCAGGTGAAATGCTCGCTCTCCTGGTTTTCAGTCATGTCTCTTTTGTGATTCTCATTTTTCACAATTTAGTTCTTTCACTTTTACTGTCACTTTCGACACTTCTCGTACATCATCCCAAAATGATTCTGTCTCCGGGGACGGACGAGTGTGATCCTCTTCTTCTCTCCAGCAGGATGCGTTGTGCAGATGTGAATCTACCTTTTCGTCTTTGAGCTCTGTCCTGGAGCTCAGGGTGTGAGCCGAACCTCAGAACCTCAGCTCTGTTCTCTCGTGTTCCCTCTCCAGGCCCAGAGGAAGCAGCTTTGGGTTCCTCTGATAGAAAAAGCTCTGGCTAAGCTCCACGGTTCCTACTTCGCTCTGCAGGCGGGCCGCGCTATCGAGGGCCTCTCCACGCTGACCGGGGCCCCCTGCGAGTCTCTGGCGCTCCAGGTCAGCGCCACCAACCCCAAGGAGGAGCCCATCGACACAGACCTCATCTGGGCCAGAATGCTGAGCTCCAAAGAAGCAGGGTGAGCGTCTCTGACACAGTCTGGTCTCAGTCATACTCGTTTATCAGATCTGGTTCCTACAAGCCTCAGGTCGTCTGGTCTCAGCCTTTTAATTAAACCTTCAGGACGAAAACTCACCGTGAGGCGTGTGTTTATTACTGTGGTGGTACTGTGAAGACCTGAAGGCCTTATTCATTTATCTTTATCTTTATTTATGTATTTAAACTGTTTCACTGGTTTGGCTTGTTTTCCTTTTAATCATTTTATTTCGGGTCTTTATTTCTGATTTTTAATATCCAACCTTTTATTTCTGGTTCTACTCACTGTAACACATCTCCTCTGTTTTAGTGTTTTATTATTTCATCTTTATCATTCTATCATTATATTTGTTTTACAGTCAGAGTTCAGTTCCTGTTATTATTGTCTCATTTCTTTTGTTTTTATTTGTTACTTGGTCATTTATTGTTCTGTGTGTGTGTGTGTGTGTGTGTGTGTGTGTGTGTGTGTGTGTGTGTGTGTGTGTGTGAGGTCGTTTCTTCTCTGTCTGTGCTGCTAGCTTCCTGATGGGGGCGTCTTGTGGAGGAGGCAACATGAAGGTGGATGACACGGAGTACGAGTCCCTGGGTTTACGTCCACGACACGCCTACTCTGTCCTCGATGTGCGGGACGTGGACACTCACAGGTGAGGACGCTGAAGACAGGAAGTGACAGGGAGGCAGCGTGTGCAGCTATGTTGTAAATCTATAGGAAATGATTGTGTGCTTTTATTCTGAAAAGTTCTGACATACAGTGTGTGATATGAGGAAAAATGACACCAGTTTCAGTCAGTGAGGAGGACGTGTGGCCCCTCTGTGGGTACAGGTTCTGAAGGGTACCAGTCAGAACTCATGACCTCTAACGTCTGGCTCCTGGTTCAGATTACTGCAGCTGAGGAACCCGTGGGGTCGGTTCTCCTGGACGGGCCCCTGGGCCGACGACTGGCCAAACTGGCCTCCACACCTGAAGAGGGAGCTGTGCGCCCAGCGAGCCGAGGACGGACTGTTCTGGATGGACTTCTGGGATTTCATCAGGTAGATTAGGAGCCCACTAAGTCTGGAGTAACCCTCCTCCTTAGCAACAATCCTTAGTAACGCCTATATTTATAATATTAAATAATTCTATAACCGCACTGACGGCGTTTCCTTGATTCTCCTGCATTTATAGAACAATAACATTCAGCAGAGGGAACAGTAAAGTGCCACAGTGTGTAGAGTGTGAGTGTGTGTGTGTCGATGCGTTCACACATGTCTGTGAGTGTGTGTCTGACCCCGGCAGGTACTTTGACTCAGTGGATATCTGTAAGATTCACTCAGACTGGCAGGAGCTCCGGGTCCCGGGCGTTTTCCCCCGAGGAGCCGACGTTCCGGTGACGGTGGTGTCCATCACGGTTCTGGAGAGAACGTCTGTAGAACTGGCTTTGTTCCAGCAGGGCAGCAGGTAGGACGACGCTCCACACCTGAGGAACTTTAATAAGGACGTCTTTATTTCACAGATACTGAGCAATGACGAACTCTACAGTAAACAAACAGCCCTGGTCAGTATCACTACAATATTACCTAAATAAGAATCCTGTTTCTTTAATGCAGTTTATTTGTTTTTAGCCAAAGCAAAGAGAAGATATAATAAATATATAATAAAATGTCAATCCACTCTTTATTAGTGAGATTCAATTCTTTTAATTTGAATTACTTTATATATTTTTGATGGTTTTTCTATGGAAGCCCAGAGAGACAAGTGAAAGGTGTTTTTTGGATCATTTGTCCCTGTGTTTCGTCAGGCGCTGGGACACGGCGGAGAGCCACCTGCTGGATCTGTGTGTGCTGGTGTTTCGGGTCTCCTACGACAGCTCGGGGACTCTGGCGCTGGGTCGTCTGCTGGCTCACAGCCGGCGCTCGGTGAGGAGGTTCGTGGGCTGCGACGTCATGCTGGAGCCCGGCGAGTACGCTGCGCTGTGCTGCGCCTTCAACCACTGGCACAGCAGCGTCGCCGAGGGGACAGGTACGCAGCAGATAACGTCAGGCGTGGAGCTGATCACACCTGTCGTGTCTCTGTGCATCACGTAAATCCCAATCCTGCAACACACCTGCTCTCAGACTCACATCACAGAGGTTTTCAGCAGGAGGATTGTGTCCTCTCATGCACATTTTATATAGAGTTTCCAGTTTATTAGGAACACCTGGCTAAAACTAAGTCAGTCTAATCCTGCAATAAGGAGAGGTGTTGATTCACCTGTGTGATCATTTTGGAGGATTTACTTTGTGCTGGACTGTGTTGCATTATACTGCAAGGTGTGTCTGTTATTTCTCCTGTATATTCTGAGGATCAGGTGATCGACCTGCGGCCGGTTCGTTGGGTTTACCTTCCTTTTTTTTTTTAATAGCTGGAAAATTAGACGTTTTTTTAGAGCAAAAGAAAATTGCAAAAACATAAACTTCATTATTACAGCGCCACCTATCGGACAGTTAGTGTCATTCTTCGTGCCGGAGTAGTGGGTGGAATTTGCATCAATCTGCCAATTTTTGTGAGTTTTTCTTTTGTGAGTCATGAGAGGGGAGAACAGATTTTACAGTTTGACGGGGACAACGTGATTGGCTGGTTGAGATATCTGAAATGTGAAATCTGATTGGTCACCTGAAGTCAGCTGATTACAAGAAGTGAGGTGAGATAGAGAGAGAAGAGATCATAAACATGGCGGACTGCTCTGACCTCAGATGATCAGTGGTTGAGCCAGGAGTGTTTTTGGAGTTGCACCGAATTAAACGACCTGTAGATGGCGAGTAAAACACACGTACCTGAGCTACATCAGTAGACAGACCTGTCCTTCATCTTATATTATCACCACTAACGTCACATTGTCCAGCCATATGAAAACGTGTCTGAGGGGGCGTGTGCTCTCCTCTCTTCATGTGTTTTCAGTGAGCGGGGGCAGGGCGGAGTCTCCTGGCTACATGCTGGCCGTGTACAGCTCCAGACTCGTGATGGTGGAGCAGGTAACGGCCTCCAACACCACCATCGCCGACGCCATCATCCAGCTGACGGAGACCAAAGGAGAGAGACACGAGGTGATGCCGTGTTCGCTCAGTCCTCGTCAGCGCGGTGCCATTAGCTTATACCTGTTATCAGGTGCTCTGCTCTGTCGTCCTCCTGCTGCTTTCACGGGAACTTCACAGAAACCTTAAGGAGAAGACTTGAGGTTGTTTTGTGCAACTGTTTTTATTTTAAGGAAACCTGAACTCAGACTTAAATCTTAACTTAAGGGTTTTTTTGTGCAACAGGCGCCTGATCTGAGCTGAACTCAGTTAAAAGGCTTCACAATAAAAATGTGGAAAAGTTCTCCAGGGAATTTGGGGCCAGTTGCACAAAACACCTTAAGTTTTCTACTTAAGTCTGACACTTAAGGTTTAATTCCGAGTTACTTAAGGGTGTTGCACAGAATCTCTTAAATGGTTTCCTTAGTTAAGGAAAAACGATAAGAAATTTACAGCAGTGAAAGAGATTAGTAAAATTCTACTGTTTCCATGGAGACCGTTGATTTGTGTGTGTGTGTGTGTGTGTGTGTGTGTGTGTGTGTCAGGGTCGGGAGGGGATGACCTGCTACTACCTGACCCACGGCTGGGCGGGGCTTATCGTCATGGTGGAGAACAGACACCCGCGGCACCACCTGCACGTGTCCTGCGACTGCAGCGACAGCTTCAACGTGGTGTCGACACGCAGCAGCCTGAAAACCATCGACAGCATCCCCCCCCTGCACAGGTTCACCTCCACACACACACACACCTCCTGATTCTCTCAGCAGTGGACTCGTGCTCTGCTCGGATATGAGAACCAGAGCTTTATTTGTCTCTCTCAGACAGGTGCTGGTGGTTTTGTCTCAGCTGGAGGGAAACGCTGGATTCTCCATCACACACAGACTGGCTCATCGTAAGGCCGTCCAGGCGTCTCTGGGGAACTGGAGTCCCTCAAAAGCAACACACAGTCCCGCTCTGAGCCCGGAGACTGCAGGTCTGCACCAGCCTCGCCCCCTCTGACCGCTGGGATCGGCAGAGCTCAACATGGAGGCAGCTTCTTTCAACAAACAGTCCAACTCCTGGGGACTCGTGTCTGTCTCATCTGACTGTTTGATGACGTCCTCAAAGTGTTGGACTATTTTTCAAAGAGACCTTCATATTCTTCCACAAACGCTCTGAGAGCTGCTCTGAGACAGAAGCATCTCACTGCTTGAATTGAACCTCAGTGGACAGAACGAAACAGCCATGCACACGGCAGTAAAGTACAGACAGAGAGGCGTCGGCCACAGTGTCACCGTCGCCACCTTTCACACGGACTGTTTCTTTGGTAGAAAGTAGTCAACAACATAGTTGGAAGAAATTCAGGCGTCAGGTCATGAATTAATCAAACACACCTCCCAGATGTTACCTGGACCAGTGGCTCAAATAATAGAGAGAGACCAAATAATACGTTCAGAGCACTTTTTATTTTAACCATCGAACATTCAGGACTGTATGACTCAGCGTTAGGGAGCACATCGAGGGGAGAAAAAGAAATCTGAAATTTTGAGAATAAAGTTGTAATATTACATTCATTAAAAATGTAAAATTTCAAGAGAAAAAAAAAGATTTTTAGCAATATTACATCAACCAATCAAACGGGTGAAAGCACAGTCAGTGGCAGCTGCAGATGAAGTATCTCCTTATTTGTGAAAGCTAAAGTAGAACTTCCCAGGATGCTCCATGTTTCTCATTTTAAAGCTTCTGATATTTCCCTCTACAACAACACACAACATAAAATTACAACTATTTTCTCATAATATGACTTTTTTCTCATAAAATTACAACTTCATCCTCATAATATTATGACTTTTTTTCTTGAAGTATTATGATTTTATTCTCAAAATTACGACTTTATTCTTATAATGTCTGACTGTTTCCCTCAGTGTGGCCCTCATCCTCTCAATACTTTAAATCAACAGGTGAGAAAATGTATTTCTGTCTTCAGAGCAGCTCTGCCTCCGAGAAAATGTCTGACCAACAAACAGAAGCTGCTCGAACCGTCACAAAGATGAACACTTAGAGGAGATCTTAGAGAACACATGATGCACTTTACATTTCAGATCACAGGCTGGTCTTCAGGTCCAGACTGTCTTAATTGCACTGGTGATAGATGAATAGAAGTTATTATCTTAATTAGTTGTGTCTGAACTGGCTGCCAAGATGTAACACAAACACAGTATTATTCAGTCTTACTGCACATTTGTAACATGTAGGATGTTTAGATAAAGTGTTTTAGTTTAGAGATGCAGCAGAGACTCGCTGTGTGGTTGCATTAGCACTTTATCAATTTTAAGCTATGCTGGATACTCGTGGTGTTTTATTTCAGAGGAGACGTTTTAAACTTGCACAATGGATACAAATATTTTATGCTCATGAATCCAAAACTACCGTCATGTTGTTAGAGAGAAGATAAAAACTATGCAAATGTTTGAAAGCTGTGATGATGCTTCGTCAATTAAAATGTGTATAGCTCTTTATCTTTGGCTTATCTGTTATATTTACAGGGTGAAGATAGGATTTTGTTGTGATTAGTGTGTTGTTATTATTATATTTACATTTTTTACCTTCAGGTTTGACCTTCACTGTATTCTGTGTGTTCATCCACTTACAATAAATAAATAACATTGATAATCAGTATTCAGGAAGCTTAAATATCATACTGACAGACATTTCTCAACAGTGTTTCTAATATTCTGTTTACCACCATGTGTGTAAATATTATGTATAATGATATAATAATAATTAGAAAACATCCATGAAGGAAAAGTAATAATTGTTATGATTCTATAGGTAGAAATATTATTGAAGGTTTTGCTCAAAATAAAACAGTTTAATACTTTTATTTTTGAAATAACATTATTTATTAAAAATAATCAAATCAATAATAATAATAAAACTTTTTTCTTTCATTATGAAGCCATTTCCAAAATAAAACTTCCCCTGTCGTTGGGCGTGTCCTCCGATGACGCGTTTTACGTCACAGACCCAAACCAAAACATCAGTTGGCTGCACGACCCCAGCAACCTGTGGCTAGGTTGTTCGCCACCGAGTAAACGGATATAAAAACTGCTGCTTTTAATGTAACACCAGTTTGATAGACGTCATCAGCTCTTCGCGGTCAAAGTGCTCATCAAACAGCAGCTGCAGGTTTGTCCATGTAGCGGTGAGACACGTAGGTAACCAGCTAACCTCACCTGTGTCGTATTCTAGTTAACGGCTGTTTTTGCTCGCTGAAAACACGTCCTTATTGTGCTGTCGGATTCGTAATGGCGGCCACCGTGACTGTACAGAAGCCGAGGTTCATCTCACACACGCATTCAGGACTAAATAGGGAGTAAACGCGGGAGATGGAGGTGATACAGCAGAGAGGCGGCTAACGCTAGCTACACGTTAGCATCGCCTCAGACAGTAACAATCAATCCGAATCGATGACAAACATCGATCCAGGACCGTGAAACGTGGATGGATGGATGGATGGATAGAATCAGTATTATTTGAGCAATCAAACAATTCATCCTCTTTGAAACTGTGACTATTAATAAAGGTGATATACTCCAACAAATGACACATAAAACTGATATTTGTCGTCATTAATAAAAAAAACATCAGTCAGATGGAAAAAGTAAATACACTCAAATCCATAAAACTAGAATCAGGTGTTCCTACGGTGGCCCTGAGAGACCAACACACTGCAACTTCAGAAAACACATTAAAACAGACAAAACACAAACACATTCAGAAAACTGCAAATTCAATGCGTTCAAATCGTTCAATGCTTTGTGACTTTTGAAGTTAAAAGTGTTGAACATGTGTTAAAATTCACCCATGCAAGCGCGTCCCTGCCAGGTTCATAAATTACAGGGGGCAACAGCAGCCTCTGAGGCCAAAGGTTGATTTACCTTTTCTGCGGGAGAATGTTACAATTTTTGTTAAATAAATGAATGAAAAATTAAATATTCCTCGTGGTTTTGTTAAATTATATATCACCACGCAACAATTCCCATGTTTTAATCTCATCCACTTGAACCTGATCTGCTTCTGATCTTTTTTTTTTCCCCTCAGTTTCTGTCCTGCCTGCTGGATCTGAGCGTCAGGATAGGGAAGCAAAGCGAGGAGGCAGCTGCCAGCGGTGCAGCGAGCCTGGTGGACAACATGTCAGACAGTCCGGAGAAAAGCGCCTCGGTGTCGGCTCAGGAGCTGAAGGAGCAGGGAAACCGCCTGTTTCTGAACCGCAAGTACCTGGAGGCGGCTGCCTGCTACAGCAAAGCCATAGTAAGGAGCGGGTGATGGGGAACATGTGTCTCAGGTTGATGTGCAAACAACAGCAGCAAAGTTTTAACCTAAAGATATTTCTGCAATGATGCATTCTCTCTCCTTATGTTACCTGACATTAAAATAATTCAGTCAGTATCAGGAGTGAACAGCTGGTGCATCTGTACAGTGTGTGTTTTGTCTTCTCCCCTCTGTTAGAGCCACTGTCCCTCCGTCCCAGCGTACTACACCAACAGAGCGCTGTGCTACGTGAAGCTGCAGCAGTACGACAAAGCTCTGGCGGACTGCAGACACGCCCTGGAGCTGGACAGCCAATCGGTGAAGGCTCACTTCTTCATGGGCCAGTGTCACCTGGAGATGGAGAACTACGACGAAGCCATCGGCAACCTGCAGAAAGGTACGAGGGACGATGCCGTCATCATCATCATCCTCTGCGCTTACACTGCCAGACACGTGATAATTAGACAGTAAAATCAACATGTAGCTCCTCACGTGTTGTTTTCCAGCTTATAACCTGGCGAAAGAGCAGCGTCTGAACTTCGGCGACGACATCCCCAGCGCTCTGCGGATAGCGAAGAAGAAACGCTGGAGCAGCCTGGAGGAGAGGAGGATCAACCAGGAGAGCGAGCTGCACGCCTACCTCACCAAGCTCATCCTCGCGGAGAAGAAGAGGCAGGTCCACTGCAGCGATGGTGTAGACAAATTAGAATAAAGGAAAATAAGGTCTTAAAATGTCTTATATTTAGTCGTATGTTTAAGACTGTGAGAGAAAAAACAAAGCCAGTAATAATGATGTTGTGGTTTCATGTCACTTGTTCTACATTGTTGTGGTTTTTTTTCACAGACACACATTTAGCAACAGAAATCATTTCCACATTGTTCAGTGATGATTTTTATTCATTGAAGTCTTAAAAAGCTTCTAAAAATGGTGCAGGAACCCTGGTAGAGCTTAGTGTGTGTGTGTGTGTGTGTGTGTGTGTGTGTGTGTGTGTGTGTGTGTGTGTGTGTGTGTGTGTGTGTGTGTGTGTGTGTGTGTGTGTGTGTGTGTGTGATCCACAGGGAACTGGAAGGCTGCAGACAGAGACAAGACAACAAGTCTGACGACGGCAGAATTCAACACAATCTGAACAAGCATGTAAGTTTTTATTCACATTTTAGTCCAGAAACATTATATTATTATATTAATGTTGTAAATTAAACCTTGTGGAAAACAGCAGCCGACAGTGTGAAGTCCAGTTAGATGAAATATGTGAAAGTGAGCGATGTTCCTGAGCTGCTTAAATTTCAATAACACTGTTGTTTAACTCCAATCTTTTCATTTAAATGTTAACAACATGAAATACAACCTCTAGCATCCGGATAATATCCTGTATACTTCAGCATATAGTAGCTGTATATATAGGAAGGAATAATAAATAAACAAACAAATGCTTCTCTTGAATCTATACAAAGTGGGGTATATATAGTATAACGGTAAAGTGTTTAGAAGAAGAAAAAAAACACAGACGCTGCATTGCTCAAAGAAACGAGTGACTCACTCGATCATCTGTTAAATCTAAATCCTTCCATATATTCTCAAGTCTGTGCTGCTCAGCCTGTAATATGTAGGATATCCTGATAACATCTGTCTCATCTGATGAGGAGAGGTTGCTCTGTGCTCTGCAGGTTTTTGGGCATAAAGGAAACAGGTCGTTCACTTTTACTAAAGTTGTTTCTGTGGATAAAAACCAACAGAAAGAGTTTAGGAGTCAAATTTATTCTGAAATAACTTTTTAAGTTTTTCTTCCTCATTGGTCCAACCGCTAAACCTCCAACCTGTTCACGTTTATTTGTAACATTAAAAACTGTTTGTGTTTTCCACAGGACAAGTATCTGTCGGACATGGAGGAGCTGTTCTGTCAGGTGGACGAGAAGAGGAAGGTCAGTCAGTGATGATGATGATGATGAATATCCAGTCTAATTCCAATCTAATCTACGTTTCCCTGAGACAGAGACCAAAACAAGAGTGTGTCCCGCTTTGCTCGCCACTCTCTCTCTCTCTCTCTCTCTCTCTCTCTTAATTTAATGATAAGTTACCCCTTTAATGGGAAAACAAGTCAAATATCAGCAATTGTACATCGTCAATCAATCCCGGTCCCTCGGCACGACCCTGGATCACATGTGACC